AAATATCTCATAAAATCATTACAAAAATAGCCATTTTGTTTCAACACTTCTAGTGTCTTATCAAGTGATGCAGTTGAATGTAGAATAAAGAGTTTTAAAAGGTTCAAATCGACCAAACACCCCGCGATAGGGAAACGCTATTACCAGGTTTAAAAAAAACAGAAGCTAAAAACTTCAAATTGAATTTGAAGTTTCTTAGCTTCTGTTATTGAAACCTGGTAATTCTAATATTACCGATGGAACCATATAAGTACATTTACAATATATATATATATATATATATATATATATATATATATATATATATATATATAGTGATTGGTTCTCTCGTAGTTTTCGCGGGTAGTTACCACTGTCTTTGAAAAGAACATCTCTTGCCATGTATTTGTGAAATCCCCGTCACTTAGCTGATAATCCTCAGGTAAATAAACCTCCGAAACCATTTTTGTGATAGGTCACCTGTTTTCCATTTAACAAGATATCAGCTGACACGCATATCTCTGCATCTACATGTATATATGATTTGATTATATAGTTGAAGGCTTATGCAGAACAATCCATGAAGAACAGACTGCAGAAAACTGGTGCACATAGTATGCCACAAGACCTCCTAACGACACATCTCAGGTTTGGTCTTCTTCTCAACTCGTTGTCAATTAAGGCTAATAAGTTCATCCTAATCACTAATCAATATTTGGTTGAAGAAGAGATGGACTCAAGCCTTTCTTAAGTTTATTTTCGCGTAAGTCAAAGTAATGAACTCGATTGGAATTCGAACTCAGCTTAATGGAGCTCAAATCTAACTTTGAATAATGAAAAGGTAAGAAGTTTATTTTGTAGCAGAATGGATATGGATAACCGGTTTTAAAATCAATTATTATTTTTTTTTGTAGAAAATTGATAATTTCTCTGTTCACATTTGGCCTTTCACGGGTCCTGTAACTACATATAATAAAAGAGTCTTTTCCTAGGGCTATATAACCTGACAGAGATAGAATCTCTTTTCTTTTTTCTTTCTTTTTTCATTTTTCTTTTCTTTTTAACCATTTCACCACAGGTGAGGCGATAATACCACTAGGACATAGGGTGTTGAAGAGAGTGAAAGAGAATGAGAAAACTTTAGTGAGGAGAAAGGACAATAAAAGAACAGGATTCAGTAAGACAAAATAGCAATTAACGTTGCCTTTGATGCATGTTTATATCCACCAGGACTGATTCTCTATCTGTATGTAATGTATCTCTGTTTTTCCTTTTTTCTTATTTCACCCAAAGCAAGATAATGCCACTAAGACGCAAGGGTCTACTGAGAATGAAAGAGAATCAAAACATGTTAGTGAGGAGAAAGGACAATAAAAGACCAGGATACACGAAGACAAGAATAGGGGTGATAGTGGAAGGATGAAGAGAAGGATAGGGGATAGATCAAGGCATCTGGAGACGTCGATTGACATTACATTTGAATAGTTATCAGGGAAACAGACAGAGCAGTAAAATTGATGGACTGAAAAATCCTTTGGAGCAAAATGCAGTACAAATAACACGTGAGCTTGCAGACAAAATTAGCAGTGAATGTAATTTTTCAGTAATGATTGCAATATGAATATCTTTCCTTAAACAAGGACTTCGCCTGAAGCATGACAATGCACGCTTCCCTGTTTGGCATGGATCTTATCACAATGATCATCGAACAAGAATGAGAAATGTCGTCATATATGATGTATTCACCAGATCTGTCACATTCTCACTGCTGTATGCTTCGCGTCATGCAACAACGCATTGTCTCTTAAGTCTAAGCAATTTATTGCACTGTCGGTGACGTCTAGATCAGGTGTCGACTACCTACGGCACGCATGCCACACACGGCACGCCTAGCTATTTCAAATGGCACGCAGTCACAAATGACATCACGAAATCCGAACCAGTAACTACTACAACGCAAAGAAGATATTTAACTCTTTCAATTTTAATATATACTAAAGTTTATATATTATACATTACTATATAAAATATATTGTAGAACAAGTATATTGACCTTGCCTTGTATAAAAATACGTATGCTGTTGGCACACTGAATGATTTTAAAACCCTAAGGGGGCATATAGTTAGCAAAACGTTGCCGACCCTTGGTCTAGATTATGAAAACTGTTTTCTCTGCAAAGAGTTAAGAATCCTTCCCCAACAACACGGTCTACTTTATGGCCAATGTCTACATATAGACCCAAGTATAAACTCAATAAAGTTTATTTATAGGTTCAAGTATCAATCCAAAATATATTTATCTATAGGCTCGAGTATAAACCCTACGGACGTTTACCTATAGACCAAATATAAACCCTAAAAAAGTTTACCTATAGGCTCAAGTGTAAACTCTACAAACGTTTACCTATAAACTCAAGAATAAACCCTACAAATATTTACCTATATTCTCTAGTATAATCCCTACAAATATTTACCAATAGGTTTAAGTATTAATATTTATGTATAGGCTCAAGTATAAACCATATCAATTTTTACCTATGGGCTCGACAGTGTCTAGATTATGAAAACTGTATCCCCTACACAGAGTTAAGAAATCCCTCCCCACAAAATTGTCCCTTTATTGGTTAGAAGCTTGAGACTCAAGTATAAATCCGACCATGTCTACCTATAGTCTCAAGTATAAAAACCATAATGCTTGCTTATAGGCTCAAGAATTAATTCAAACAACATTTACCTGTAGGATCAAGTATAAACCCTTCAAATGTTTACCAGTAGGACCAAGTATAAGTTCTACAATTGTTTACCTATAGACTCAAGTATAAACACTAAAATTTTTTACTTATGAGCTCAGGTATTAACCCTTCAAATATTTGCCAGTAGAATCAAGTATATGCTTTATAAACGTTTACCTATACACTCAACTATATGGCCTACAAATGTTTAACTATAAGCTCAAGTATAAACACTACAAATGACAACTTATGCGAAATTTAATAACTCAACGAGTGTTGATATGCCTTAAAATTAACCGACTCAACAAATTCAGAATATTCAAAATGTCATCGAAAATGTTCACGCGGAATCGTTCTTTTATAACGGAATTAAGCTGAAAATTGATGTAATGATAGTCATGAGAAAGTCTTGAATAACTAAATACTGATGCGATATTGATATATAACTGATGCTACATAGTTATATCACTTTTATAAGTTATAAAATAACTTATTCAAACTTGATGTAAGATTCACCAACAATAATAGGTCTTGTCAGAACAAAACGGAATACAATAGCAAAACAAAGGCAGGACTTTAAAAATAAATTGAAAAACATGTTCAATGATTTACATCGGTGAAACATCTAGAAATCTTTTTAAAAATGACAATATGAGTATGCTGTGGCGTAGCTGAACACCCGCACAAGATGGACTGGTCTAAGACTATTTAAAGAACACACTTTCTTTCTTGAGCGAAAGGAGTTAACGATTACAGATAACTCTGCTTGTTGTCTCTCTACCTTCGGGCGGAGAGGAACCCAGACGAAGTTATGCTGAAGGGCAGAGTCTCGTCTGGGGAGGTAGACAGCTACTCGACTCCGTGTATAAGGGGTCTACGGGCAATTTTTTTCCCGAGTCTATGTGCTCCGAACGTCCCAAGTAAAAAACGGCCTTGTGCTACATCCCACCTTGTGGGGAGGTCTTGGGTAAATACTGATGAGTTAATGATTAATTACTTATTATATTAGTCTGTGTTCTCAACTGTGTACTCCAGAATAAACTACTTCTTATTTTCAATATGTGTACCGACCTTTCCTATTTACGACACAGCAGTTATATGCTGCATAACAACACTTTAATCGCAATTGGTATTTTATTGTAACATCTGACTATAATTTCTACCTAATTAATACCTGTCTAATCAGAAAACAAAAGAATCCACTGTATTGAAAGTGCACTTAATTCTATAATTTTCTACGTGCCACCTCAGACCGGGTTCATACACAATATCACCAATAGTTGCACAATGTGACATAGAAACTAATAGAGACAAAAAAAAACAACAAATATCTGCTCGCTGTGGTCTAATTTAAAATCCAACAGACATTAATGTATTCAATACAAAAATCAAGCACTTTCAAGCCGAAGCATCTGATAAGGTTATTTATTACCCCATCCTCAGAAATTCCAGCATACTGTTCTTGGTGCACATAGCTTTTCTTCCAACCTGAAGACGCCTACCACACAGAGGCAAAACGCGTTGTCTATAAATATTTTTTACTTTGTCTCATTATCTCCATATAGTTATATGAATAAAATATATGCTGGAGATTTTTCTGCCAATATAATATTAACTGAAAGATAATGAACAAGATGTTAAAATATTATGAAAGAAGCTACAAGTTCGAAGATTCAATCGGATTTAAATTTGTAAAAGGGACATTCTCAAGCTCAACAGAAAAAAATTTCCCTCCAAAAAAAAAACAAAAAACAGAGAAAAGAAATATGGCGTCCATCGTAGATACACATGGTTTCTCCATGCCAATGATCTCTATTTCAAAATTCGAGATTTTCAATACAAATTTTCAAGACTATCCTTTTCATTTGTAGCACAAACTTTTCTTTCTTCCCCCAGAAAAGTAGCTTAGTCTGGTAGAAGGACATAATATTTGGGCAGTCAGTACCAAAGAGAGATTAGTTCGCTTTATGACAGCGGCATTGAGCTCACGTAATTCGAACAGGTTTATTAAATCTATCGGCGCTCTGAATGAATATCAAATTCACTGTACTAAGAAATAATACTAACAATTGATACTAACTGGCAAAGTTATCTTTATAGTTGATCTCCATACTTTACTAGTTTATGAAACCTTTACAGCGAGGTGGATCCTGAGAAAACTAACACTCCTACCACTCACTCACCCAACACTCTCCCAACTTCAGGTAGATCTTTCGACCTGTCAGCACCTCTATATATCAAGGTCTTCTGTTAGTATAAGGAGCGACATTGTATCCATTACTGGCTTGCTTACAGGACCTGGTATTCCCAAGTGGTCACCCATCTCATTACTGACCAGGTTCAACATTGCTTAACTTCCCTAATCAGACGGAAACCGGTGTTTCAGCATAATATAGCCGTAATCATGTCACACCAGGACTTATTATATGTCGGCCTTAATATAAGATACTCAGATGACAAACTGTTGGTGGAAGACTTTTATAGAAACCCGCAGGAAAGATAAAGTAAAAGGAAAGCAAGGAAAAAGGGCTAACTATCAATTGTAAGAAGAGAGAATGTATTGTCGTTAGCAAGAAGAACGGCTCAATATACAATTTACGAATTGGAGATGTTAAAATAAAGCAAATACAGAAATTTATTAACAGTCGACGAAAACTGTGACACAAAAAACCGAAGGCACAATGGAAAACGAAAAAATGCCTTTTAAAAGCTAAGCAAAGTATTCAGAAACAGAAAAATTTCGTTAGAAACAAAAAAAAACGTATCTCTGAGATGAGGTATTATGATTACTTGCATTATTTACATTATTCAGACTATTATCCTCATCTTCATTGCCATATTCACAACGACTCATGGCCCAGAGGATAAAGACGTTGGTTAGATTCAGTGACTAGAACCAAACATCTGTCTATAACTCTGTGATGAGGTATGATTACTTGCATTATTTACATTATTCAGACTGTGATCTTCATTGCCATATTCACAACGTTTCGACCGTTGTACGCTCCGGCTTTCTTCAGGTGACTGGAATTTTGAACGAACCCTATGTTTTGTCCACCGGTGTAGATGGTTGCTGAGTCTTTAAACTTATAAGACCCCAAAATTCATGCACAGAACACATGACCCACTGGAAAAAGACGTTGGTTAGATCCAGTGACTAGACCCAAACAGTTGTGAATTCAGTACCAGGCGATAGCAGTATTGAACCAAAAACTGAGTTGAGTTAAAGAGAAATAATTGGAACATCCGGAAGAGCCATGGCACGTGGAATTAGAACAATCTACCCCGGTGGAGAAAATAAATGTTTCGGTTCACCTGAAGATGACTGGAGCATACAACGACCGAAAAGTTGTGAATATGGCAGTCAAAAGTTGAGGATAACAGTCCAAATAATGTAAATAATGCAAGTAAGAAAAGCGTGCTGGACCGCTAAATAATATCAATCCTCCTATAAGGCAGTGGATGGATGCTTCACAATTTCCCCATGGATGAAGAAAAGAGGCAATAGAAATCTGGTTCTCCAGAAGGATGTTAATAATGCCATTGATGGAACGTGTGAACAACGGCGAAGTTTTAAGAAAAGTAGAAACAAAGCATATGTACTTAAAAAGACACAGCTGAAAGTTTTAGAAAATATAATGAGGAAAGAGAGGTTGGAGAATTCGACACTCACAGGACATACTGAAAAAAGAGAAACAGAAGCAAACAGTGAGTAACCTACCTAAGACGTTTATGTCATTGGCTGGTAGAACATGGACTGGGAGCAGTATTAAATATTAAAAAGACAAACATTACTTAGAGCTATAAAGAGAGTGAAAATGTGGAGAGCAATGATCGTTCACCTGTTGATGGGATACGGCACGAAATATGTAAATTTTAGTGTGGCAGAATAATATGGCAAAATAATAAAGAAATTAATGAAGATCGAACTCTTGTAAAAACCCTGGACTTTTATTGTCTTCTCTCTTCTCAACGTTTTCTCAGATTCTTCCACTCTTATGTAACCTTTTGCGTCTTAGTGGCTTTAACGCCTTGCTTGGAATCAAATGATTATAAAAGACAAAAAAAATAATCTACAAACCAAGCTTGCTCACCATTACTTTATATCGGGTTTTCCAAAAGCTAAGCAAAGCAAAGTGTTATGAAAACAGTACTTAAATGTTACGTAATGTCAATTCTCTTATAGGATAGTGAATGCTGGACAATTTCCTCACAGATGAAGAAGAGATTTGAAACATCAAGAATGTGATTTTATAGATCATCACAGATGAATAAGTGAATTGAGAAATTTGGTTCTACATAAAGATACTGAGAATACCATGGACTGAACATATGAGCAACAACGAAGTTTTAGAGAAAATGGAAACAAAAAGGACACTTATTTACCAGAAAGTGTCAGTAGAAATTCATAGGGCACATAATGAGGAAAGAGGGCATGGAAATTTTGACACTCGCAAGACATATTGAAAACAAAATGGACAGAGGAAAGCGGCGTATAATATATCTAATAAGCTTTTGAAACAGGGCTTAGGAGAGATAATAAATTATTAAGGGTTAAGTAGGACAGGAAATTGTGGAGAGCCGTTATTGCCAAACTTCTGAAGGGATATAGCACTAGTCCAGCTTGGCTTTACACTGAAAGATGCCCTACTTGTAGACATACATCACAAGTGATGTGGTATAAAAATTGGATTTACTAATCATGTTGTTTTACAATTGCTTTCAGACTTACATTGTAAATACACTTCAGTACTAGTGGTTGCGACCACTATTAGAAACCGCAGTATTCAGCTAATTACAATAAGTCGATCGATGCCGGTGTAGTTGACTGTGTCGCTTATCATCCAGCATCGATCTCTGCATACCGGTATGCTGTTGTTTGCCAACTAGTGAGCTACTACCCGCTTCTGTTTTTTGTTTTTTTCTTTTCTTTTGTCATTAAAGTTTTCTCCTCGATTTGACTGTTTTGTCTGGCTTCTACCCTTTGACGGGTCTGGCTTGGTCGAACCAGCCAGGGGAAGTTTACCCGCCTGCGTAGTTCTCCAATCACAGGAGCACGCGACATTAACATTAAGACACTTAATCATAGAGCAAATTTCAGTGAATTTAATTTTATAGTATTTTGGATTTAGTTTAAAAACAAGAACTTGGAGTCGACAATATCTGCTCAAACATTACCCTGCCAAACATTTCTCATTCACATTAAAGATTTTAGTGATGTTTTTGAGTTATTTTTCAGAAAAAGTAATCTTCTTTACCATCATATGTGTTAATAAGCGGCAAATCGATATGCAATGTCAGTCGTTTATCATTTTGCGTGACAAAAGTTAAACAGGCAACCAATACGACTGGGGATTTAGATCAGATTTAGCAAGACGTTTACATTTAATAATCCGCCCGTTATTAGTGATTAATGAATTTATCGGATGTTACACTTTGAATCCTAGTCTAAGAAAGCTGAACTTAGTAAGAAACACTTCCATGAAAAGTATATTTGCCAATATGAATTTAATTTTCCTGATTAAGTCTACAACGATATGTATTTTTTGCTTTTTTCTTCTCTGTTTTTCTACATTTTTATTTACTTCTTTACTAAGTTATTTTATATTTTTGCTTTTCTAGAGAGAAGGCAGATTTATTAAATAGTGAGTATTTTTAGAAAAATGAAGGAAAAGTTGTAAAATTTTAAGCTTGAGTGCCAAGTAAATTTTATGCTTGAGAACAAAAGATTTTATGCAAGAGTACAAGGTAAAATTTATATTTGAGAATCAGTTAAATTTTATGATTGACGACCAGTTAAATTTCATATTTGAGAAACAGTTAAATTTTATACTTGAGAACCAGTTAGATTTAAATTTGATAACCAGATAAATTTTATAATTTGAGAATCAGGTAAATTTTATGCTTGACAACCAGGTAAATTTTATGCTTGAGAAACATTTAGATATATTTGATAATCAGGTAAATTGTATTCTTGACTAAAGTGTAAATTTCATGCTTGAGAACCAGGTAAATTTTATACTTGAGAACCAGTTAGGTTTTATATTTGAGAACCAGGTAAATTTTATTCTGGAGAACCATATAAATTTATTCTTGAGAAAGTGGTAAACTTTATTCTTGAGAACTAGGTAAATTTTATACTTGTCAAACAGGTAAATTTTATACTTGAGAACCAGTTAAATTTTATACTTGATAACCAGGTAAATGTTATACATACGAATCAGCTAAATTTTATGCTTGAGAACCAGGTAAATTATATACTTCAGAAACAGTTAATTATTTTTTGAGAACTAGGTAGACTTTATGATTGATTACCAGGTAAATTTTATGTTTTAGTACCTGATGTACTGAATATGCATACACTGAGTTCCCCCTCACAGTAATATGATCGTCTGGTGCCAGCCATAAATACAGACTGATGTGGAGGTACAAGGACGCCTATTGGCTACCACTACGACGAGGACCAGCCCATTACGGTTACTTGATAGATTGTCCTACTCGGTTACAGTAGTCCAAAACCACTTCGCTACTTCGAACAAATATATCCTTTTCCGGGACATAAGTTTTATGCTTAAGAACGAGACAAATTCTTGAGAACTAGGTAAATTTTATACTTGTCAAACAGGTAAACTTTATACTTGAGAGCCAGTTAAATTTTATACTTGATAACCAGGTAAATTTTATACTTGCGAACCAGCTAAATTTTATGCTTGAGAACCAGGTAAATTATACACGTCAGAAACAGTATTTACATTAGTCGGACTATTGTCCTCATCTTTGTCGCCATATTTGTCACAACGTTTCGGCCGTTGTACGCTACATAATACCTCATCTCAGAAATATAGCCTTCTTCAGGTGGTTGCTTTAGTAATTATAAGTTTTTTCAGAACTGAACCCTTTATTTCGATCATTTTTGAGGGGTAGACTGTTTCTAAGACCCTAAAATTCCACGACAACAAGGTAAAGCCATTGAGAATCAGTTAAATTTATACTTGACAACTGGGTAAATGTTTTGATGGATGTCAGTTATCAGTTATCTCCTGCTAATTTTCCCTCTTAAAGTTCAGAACCAGTTAATTTTTATGCTTGGGAAACAGGAAAAGTTTGTACTTGATAACCTGTTAGATTTTATGCTTGTGAACCAGGTAAATTTTACATTTGAAAATGAGACAAATTTTATGCTTGAGAAAAAAGTAAATTTTATATTTAAGAACCATGTTAATTCTATACTTAGCACCAGTTAAATTTTATATTTGAGAACCAGGTCGATGTTATGCTTGATAACTAGATAACTTATATACTTGAGAATCAGGTAAATTTTATAGTGTAGAACGAGATAAATTTTATATTTGAGAACCTTTATGAGAACCACTGTTTTGCCATGTGTCATTTGAGTACAAG